GACTAAAAGTTAATTGGGACAAATCTGAAATTATGTTAATTAATTATAGCAAAGAAGATAAGACCAAGCTGAAAGACTTATTTATATAAACAAAATGGCGAAACTGAATATAGTTTGCCTTAAAAAAAATAAATAGAGAAATACATTAAGGAGTTTGATACAGTCAAACTATCTTCGTTTGGTAGAACTGAGGTATGCAAAATAAAGATTATTCCCTTTTTCAGATGCTACTCATTAAGATTTCAGATTCTGATTTGAAAAGTTGGTGGGATATGATTAATTCCTTTTGTAATGGAAAAAAGCTAGAATTAATAAAAATGTATGGTATAAACCCCAAAAGGAAGGAGGATTAGGCTTACCAAATATTAAAACATAGTATTTAGCAAATCAAATAAGATATATTTTAGATATAATGATCTACAAAGAGTTACTTTGGGATGATGCTGAATTCAAAAAGGATAGAATTTGTATGGAAAATATTTTATTTAGGGAGGATAATATTCCAGATTTAAAGAAAACAGAAAATTAATTTCTAAAGAATATTTTGGAATTGTGGAGATATAGTAGGAAGATTTTAAGCCCAGTAATTTCCCCATTAACTCCAGTACCTGCAATGAAGAATTTTCCTGAGAATTTGAAACATGAGTTACAGAGGGTATTAAGAGAACAGAACATATTTAGGCTGAAGGACTGGTTAAAAATTTTGGATAATAAAGAGAAAATGGGTCAAATATGTGCAGAATTGAAGGGTTCAGGTTGGAAGATGATTCAATTACAAAATTGGGCAGTGAAAACAAGGAAAACACTTGGTGAAATAATAAAATTAACTAAATTTGAAGAACTGGTAGAGAGCATAGTGAAGGAAGACAGTACAGTGGTACCTTGGCTCACAACTCTGGTCGCGACCCAAAACTGGTTGTGAGCCAAGTCAAATTTCCCCACAAGATTCAGTGTAAATAAGGTTAATCTGTTCTGTAAGCATTTTTTTAATCAGGAGCTGAATCAAAATGACAAAGAACAACAAAGTAACAAAGAACAGCAAAGATCACGGCCATCTCCCCGCTGCCCGAGCATGACTGTGCCCACGTTCCCTGCACAAGTGTGACCACGATCACGGTCATCTCCCCACCCCAGCACAATTGTGCAGGGAAGACTGGTGCAATCGCGGTCATGCTGGGGAGGGGTAGATGGCCGCAATTGCTCCCGCCTTCCCTGCATGAGCACCACCATCTCCCCACCCCCGCAAGCAGAATCGCATCCCTCTCCCCCCCGCCTCCCCCCCAGCACGACTGCAATCACGCCTGTGCAGGGAAGACGGGCGCGATCGCAATCGTCACCTCATGCAGAGCTCGTGACCTGAGGCAATTTTTTCTGAAATTTCTGTTCCCAACCCGATTTGGTCATAAACTGAGGTGTTCACTGTAATAGGAAAGGAATTACAAGTCTAATATATAAAATGCTAATAGAAGGGCAATATGGGCCATGCAGACTTTTGGAAAGTTGGCAAGATTATAAGACTAAAGATATTAGTCAAGTAAACTGGTTGAAACTATGGAATAACAGAATTACAAAGATTATGTTGATCAGAGTAAAGGAGAATTGTGTTAAAATAATTTGGAAGTGGTATAATACACTGGCAAGGTTAAACAGAATTAATACTGAAATAATTCCACTTTGTTGGAGGTGCAAAAAAACAACAACAACAAAACAAAAAAAAAACAAGGGACTTATTATATGTGGTAGTTGTGCGAAATCAAACAAAGAATGGGCTATGATATTTAAGGAAATTAGGGATATTATTTCTAGAAAGATTTTGATGTGCCCGATTATTGCGCTTTTGAATACTTTTTTGGATTCACGATTAGACAGAGCACAACAAGAATTGATTATCATTATGGTTACCCCTGCCAGATTACTAATGGCTAAAAACTGGAAAGGTATAGATTTAATCAACATTGTTGACTGGTACAATGAAATGTGGAACTTATCCACTAATGATAAATTAACACGTGATTTGAAAAGTAGGAGAAGGAAAATAAATTATTTTACAAGTATATGGATTTTTTTAATTATATGTATTAAAGAAACATAAAGGGTAATATAGAGCTAAAGATTCACTGCATTTTTGGACAGACACAGGGTATATTGGTGATCTTTTGTAAGCTTTACTCCCAAGGGTGATGGGAACACTGTGTTGTTATGTAAAGTTTTAGTTTATGATGTTACGTATTTTTAAAACTTAATGAAAAATAAGGGAAAAAAATCAACCTGATCTTTACTGGGCTAAAGTACCAGGGTGCATTCTAGCCATCATCTGGGCATCATTCTGAATAGAGCCAATCCAATTTAGAGGTAATGACAAACCACAGTTAGCATGAGTCAGTGTTATTAGACTTATTTCAGAACATAAATTAGATTTCAATTTATGTTTGTCAACCAATTACTGCAAATCATGAAATGTCATTATGGGCACTGCAAGAAAATACACGGCTGCAGGAACAAATCAAACTATAAGCAGGAAATACATATCCGTCATACTGCTTCCCCTTTCTAGGATGAGCTAAGAATTGCAAAGTCCCTGGTGCACATTACCTTTGCTGAATACTAACCAGTGGCCTCATCATCTCTGAAGAGTAATAATACTGACCTACCTCAATGGGTTATTGAAAGAATAGCAAGATAGTGTGAGGCATTTGGAAGTACATAAATTGCTCTTAAAATGCTTTTATTAATAATTGTGCTGCAATAGGTCTGTGAATGTGTGGGGTGCTCAAGTCTACAGGCAATTCAATTCATGCTTTTATCCCAAAGATACAATCCCAAATACAATTCCAGATTCTGGAAGAGAGCTTTAGGTAGCTAAAGCAAGTCAAATCAAACAATGCGGGGGTACCTGGACAAACCATCTGACCTGGTACAAGTTATCCAGCTAGATCTAGCCTAAAAGGGAATGTCTTGAATTGCAAATCAATATGCTTTACATTCTTAGCAGCAATCCATTGGCCTGCATACCCATCTAGGAACCATACAAATAGCAAGGAAAATCATTGTTTGAGAATGGCCCCAATCCAGTCTGTTATTGATGAAGATTTTAACACTGCACCAAGCCAACCGCCTGCTGGATGCTTTCTCATGTCTTGACAAGGCTGGTCATTTTAGTCAGTGTATGAGAGTTCATGGTGACTAGGAAGATGCCCCATGCTTGCCATCCCCAGACAAGACATTCGGCAACTGGCTGAATGCATTCTGGAAAGCACACCACCATTGCCCCCAAAACCATAAAGGGGTGAGGGAATGCACGAGGAACGAAGGGCCATGGCACATTTCCACAGAGCTAAAGATGGGCTAGAGCAATGCAGAGCCCTCCCTTCGGCTGCCCTTCAGGGGACAGGACCACAACTCAGAATGGGGGTGCTGCTTCATTCTAGGCCTGATACCACCCCACTGGCCACCTCTGCTGGGAAGCACCGCTCAAGTCTCACGGGGACTTGCATCTCTTGCACACCTGTGCCACAATGCATCAGACTAAAGGCATATCTAGCCGAACATCCTGTTTCCCACGGTGGCAAAACGGTTGCCCCTGGGAAGCCCAGAAGGTGGACAGCAGCACCCTCCTGCTCAAGTCCCTTGTAAGCTAGCCCTGTGAGGAATGCACCTGAGATAGCCATCTGGGCCAGTGGCCACCATGCCCCTTTTCTGGCACACTTCAAGCCATTCTTTTAAACTCTGAACCACCTCCAGTGCACTGCAAATATGTGGGGAACTGGGAAGGCATGGGCTGTACTGTGGTTTTGGACATCACACCCACCCAGGTCTGTGTTTAATCAATAAATTAAAAACACAGACTAATTGCTTCCACTGTAAGCAGGAGTGGCTCAAACCCCCAGGCATGTGGTATCCCTGCGATGCTGAGCATTGCCCTGCGATGCTGAGCAGACCTCTGGCTTGCCCTTTTTACAAACCCATGGTTTGTTTTAGGGTTGAATTTCTGACTTGGCATGGGCAGGACTTGTCATGGTCCAGGTTGCCCCTGAGTGGTATACCCACTCCCGCCTGCGGTGGGAGCAACTGAGCAGTGCGCACCAGCCTGTGGCCTTGTTCATGACCACCCGATTTGATTGTGGGTTGCCCTGACATGCAAACTGGGCCAGATTCTTTGGGATCTTAACTAGGCTTAGTGCTAACCATGGTGCACCCCAGGCCCTCATTTGAGAACAAACAAGAAAGCAGCATTTAAGTCCCACTTCAACGAAGGGGTCTTTTAAAAATGATGTCGTGAGCAAGAGTTCACAGCATGCCTTACCATGCTGACAACGTACTTCTTGTTCCCTCAAAACCTGTAAAACCATGTTCATTCCACCTCAAATCTGCAGGGCGGCTGGCTGCAAGCATTCCAAATTAAGACTGCAGCAAGAGTATTACGTGGATTGCTGGCAGGGAATCTCACAGGTTTCTTGGCTAGCAGTCTCAACAGCTAATTAAGCTGGGAACAGGGTGAGAGAGGCAGGGAGGAGACTGGAAAAGGGAGGGAGGTGTTGAAGTATACATACTGTCCACCTCGCTGAATTTCTTGGAAGCAGCCTAATTTTTTATCTTTGACAGGGTTGCCATGAACTCTACCCTCTTTGGGCAATTGGAAGAGCGCGCGCTGGCTGTTTGAGAAAGAAAGGAGGATTAAGTGAACGCTTCTCTTTGGCTGCATCTAGTCCCCTAAAAGCGGGCACTCCCGTTGCAGGGAAACCATTCTAGGGAGGACAATGTCTTAGAGGTGTCTTTCTAGAAAGGCCAAGACAAGGAAGATCAATAGGCCAACCCCTGGAGAAGCGATTCAGAGGCTGGTTAAGAGACCGGGAGCGCTACGGCTACCCTGGCCCAGAAGCACATATAATGCTGCTGATTAAAAGTTGCTGATTGCTAGTGTAATCCTCACTCTTTGACACCAGTACCGAGAGATGAGAAACACATACAACTTGCCTGACCAAACGGTTAAGCCCACTTACCTGTGTATGAGATTGGTCAGGGGCTCTATTAGCTTCTTTCCCAGCCTTGGTTCCAAAGGAGTGAGAGCACCAAACTATATGGGGGAAGGAGAGAAACGCACCTTAGAACCCTGTGAACTTGCAGATCTTGGAGGGGACAGGAACGCAGAGTTGTGCTGCTAAGAAAGGTCATGATGGCCCCTAATTTCAAAGGGGATTAAAATAATTCAGGAAAGACAAAGCTGCCCATGGCAACTAGCCAGGACAGAGTCACAGGCTGCATACTGGTCAAGCCCAACTGTTGGGGAACATGTGGCAAAGCGTGCAGCAGCCTCCACATCCTGGTTGTGGGCGTCTCATAAACATCTGGCTGGCCAGTGCAGGAAGCTGGACAAGCAAGCCCCTTGGCCTGGCCCAACCCTAAAGCAGTAATAATACTAATTACTTTGGGAACTTGCCAGAAGGTCCAAGGTTCAGCCTGTAGGAGTGGCTGCAGAGGGGGATTTAGGAAGAAGCCCTGATGGACAAGTGTTCACTTACTCTAGTGACCCACTTCCTGGGATCACCATGGGCCCCTGCTGGATTGTCGGGGGCTGCTTATCTCAACCAGGACACGGAAGCAGTATGCTTCTGCCGCTGCAGGTCCCTGGCAACTGGTAATTGTGCTACCCTGCCTTTGAAAGTGAAGACTCCGTCTCACTACTAGGAAAAATAGCCGGTGCTTGCCTCCTTCATTTTAGGGGCCAGTGCTTCTCATCCCGTGGGCAATGGACTCCACAGGCAGATAGCCCTGCCTTGAATGTACTCATGGGATTCTGGGATACGCTTAGGGCAGCTGTGCTCCCCCGAGTGTCTGCCCCCACCTTTGACGGCATAAAGTGCCCAGCACTGGCTGGCAGCGAAGATTTCCAAGGTCCCTGTTCAGGTCCCTTCCCAGCTCCATCAGGAGGCCCCAGGGGTCAGGCTGGGATGTACATGGCCTGTCCTCTTCACTCCTCCAATGCACACGTGTGTGCACTGCCAGGCAACAATTGACCCTGACTGTCCTCGGAGATGCCTTGGGCTGCACGTGGCAGGCCCCAAGCTGGGAAAGGCTGCCATGCAACCTCAGAGTTGCCCTACCCATGAAGTCAGTCTAAAATACGTTTTATGAAAGAAATTCCAGTGTCCCACACCCTGACTGCATTGTTCTGGAGCCGAGAATTAGAGGTCCCCCGCCCTGCGCATTATGCAGGTGACAGCTGCTTTCCCCTCCCCTCTCGCAGGGCTGCTGCTTCACCTCTTCGGCGCTCTGCCTCTTTTCACACTCAAGACACCACTAATGAAGACACCAGCCCCCGGAGCTGCAAATATACTTGCCAGTTTTATGATTTTAATGAGGACCCAATTATTGGTGGATGATGTCATCAGCTTAAAAAAGAGCGGAGCGAGGGAAAGGTAGTTTTTTGGATTGCGCCTGGCTAGCTCACAAATGACATTCACAGCAGCTGACTGGACACCTGGGAAAGAGGGGGCGACAAGAAAAAACAGCATTACGTTTCTGGCTCCCAATTCAGGGGAAACGTCCAAGGAGATTGAGGGGGTCCCCTGTGGCCTCCATCTCCCTCCAACTCTGTGACACGCTGTCGAAAGGCTCCCAGACTGAGGCTGGTGGCAGAGCACAGATGCAGCCTGCGCCAGGCTCTGACTTCCGTTGAGGAAAGGAGCCTGGACAACACAGAACAGTCTGGCTGCCGGCAGAAGCAGCACCGTCGTCGTCTCCTCCTTCCCTTCATCTCCCTTGGTGTCCAGTTCCCATGCCTTGAGGGAACAGTGTTTTCAGTTGCCCCGGCCTAAATACAGAAGGCCACCAGATTGGGACACAAGTAAGATTTAGCACACTGGGGCAAGGCTGGGAGTGCGGGGGGGATGAGAAACGAAGCTGGTGCACATGGTAACAGCTATGTTTACCCTTCACCAGCTCGCCAGAGGCCTAGCTCAGGCATTCTCTACAGCCTGCCTCTTCTCTTATTCCCGCAGTTCCCTCCCCCATGCACCAGCACCGCCTCCTCTGCCGAACTGCTGTTTCACTTGAATCTGCAATGCACTAGCCCAGCCCTCATGCCACTGCAAAGAATAAGACTGGAATCTTCTGGGCTCTGGTTACCCCACCCGCTCACCAGGATCTGGGTCTTCCAGCTTCTCCTTAAGGCGGGGGAATGCAGGCCGAAGGGATTCTGGGTATTTCAAAAATACTTTGTACATGATCAATACTGCTTTTTTCCTGATGTAAGGCTTTGTGTGGGACATCTGCCATGGGGAGAAGAGAGACAGGAGAACATTATCAAGATTTCTTTCTAACACTGTTTAACACCTATACTTTTACTACCTTTTTCCCTCTGCTGTTCAGGGGCTGCTGGGGGTGGGAAAGCCTTTGGGCAAAGATTCTGTCCGAGGCCGAGCAGTTATTGATGACGGTACCAAAAGGGGTGGCAAAGTCTTGACATTTGCCTTGGAAACATTGATTAATAGGGCTTGAAAGTCAGCAGTGTGCGTTTCACACAGGGGCCCCAACCCGCATTCCTCTGCCCCAGATACAACCCCAGAGGCTGCAGAGTTTGGCTCATTCTGGTAACGCTGTTGCAGCTTGGAAGAAACAGTTCCTCAGCCTTCCATCAAAAGCTCCAGGCCCGCCAAGGTCCTGAAAACCACGTTTCAAGTCCCCCCACCCCTTTGATAGCATCTGCTGGGCTTCCCCTTCACTCCAAGTATACTGGGACAAGACCCTGCTCCCAAGCCGGACACCACTGGCTCTTTGTCCTTGCGTGCAGAGCTTCATCACTTGAAGAACACTTGAAACCAGGGCCGATTTTAGCTGGGGGACAATGTCTCTCAAAGGGTAGCTGGAACTTCAAAGAGGCTCGTCAGAATGAACAATGCGAGCCTTGTGCAGCAGCCTCCCTCCCTGCACGGGCTTACCAGGGTCATGATGTCGTTTGCCAAGTCTCTGGCAAGATCGGGAGTCACGAAACAGGACAGGCCAGTCAGGGCAACTCCAGTATCATACTGGTTGGGGCTACTCAAGTCCTGGAAGAGAAAGGCGGTGGAGAGGGGGGACGGATGGAGGAAAGACAGAAGAGGGAGGGGCTCTGGTCTTTCTGGTAGTGCTTTGCAAATCCATTTCAACAAAGCTTCAGAACCGACAAAGTCACATGTGCACCTGTGAAAACTTACCCAAAGAAGGGACCCCACTTTAAAAAATACAATGTTTTGCCATTTTAAATGAATCGAGCATGTTTGTCAACAGCAGAAGGCCTTCTCCAGAGTCTTCTGCTTTCTGGGAAGAGGCAGCAGGCAACAGAGGGGGGCTCCTCAGCTGCTACACCTCCACCTTTGGAATTCTCTTCCTGGGGAGCCTGGCCTGACATCTGCTCCAACGGTCACCTTTGCATTGCCAGGAAAAGACTTTGGATGGCAATTAATTGTTCTGAAAGATGTGGCTGCTTTAACTTATTCTTTATTTGGCATGTTGTGAATAGCTGCCTACCCTGCATGACCACAGTTCAGAGTGACAAAGCAGGTGTTTTGCCAGCAAAATGGCCCAGGTTGGACTGATGGCATCCCCAGGCAGGTATGAAAATTCGAATCCTACCTGAGAGCCATGCTGGGCTAGGTGGCCTGCCTTGGAACAAGGCAGGTTCCTACATTCCTGACAGGCAGCAGTCAGTTTTAATAAAAGCAAGCACAGAGATGTGACACTCAATGGAACAATGCAGTCTGGCATCATGTAGGTGATGAAAGTGGCGTTCTGAAGGGGACACCTACCTTTCGGATCTGGTTAGTCGTCAGCATGATGACATCCGTCCCTTCGTGAAAGCACTGAGAGGCAGCCAAGTATCCGATTCTCTGCATAATTATGGAAAAAAGAGTCATTACCCTAACCCTCCTGCTGGTATAGACAGGAACGGGGTCTCCAGCAACATTCTGAAAAGTCTGAAGTGTTGCCTAACCGTTTGGCTTGCACCAGAGAACTGTCCTGGCAGGACAAGAGCTGGGGCTGCAGGTGAGCTGCAATCCTAGTGCAAGCACAGGTGGATGAGAATCATGCAGCATAAGGTACTACAGGCAACGTTCAGATTCTTGAGAAAAGTTGACCTGTATCTTTCTAGGCCTAATTGCTGTGAAACTGCACTTCAGAAATCTCAGAAGCAAGAGTGATCTGGCTTCCAGAGGTCCTGGGATCCAGAGCTCCTGAAAGCTCTTGACTACTCTAAATGACAAAGAAAACCAGAAATAAGCAGAAAGGAGGGGAAAGAGAGATTATGCAAACCGGCCTAACATATACAGGTGTCTGAACACAGCCAGTTCTGACTTTTGAGAATGAGGACATGTGGGAAGAATAATCCTGAGGGGGTGAGTTTCAGAACTCCAACTGAGCCATTGAAGAAACTCGCAGGCGCAAGAGGAATGCTGGGTGGATTTCCGGAGCTTGCATTTCATATAGGCCACTTACCTTGAATGTGAACTTCGATGCACTCATGACTTCAATGATGTTGAAGGCTGCCCAGCTGATGTCATAACCCAGCATCTGCAACTGGTTTTGGGGGCGGAGGGGAGGTAGGGGGAGAAATAAAAGCCAAGGCATAATTCTCAGCACAGTAAAATATTTAAAAAGCTTGTAAGATACATCCATCTATTATGAGCAGAAAGACACCTCCATGTGGCATGCATGACACGAAAGCAGTGACTCTAAGGGAATCTGGACAGAATGCACATCTTTGATGCTTTCAGAATCAAGACCAGTCATACCCCGACTGGACATGGGAGCTACCTCAAACATCCCACTCCTTAAGGCAGCATTCTCCAACCTAGTGCTCTCCTAGTGATTTGGACCACAGCTGAAATTATGTTTGAACTTTTGCCGTGCTGTTGGGAACTGCTAGACATCTAAAACATCTAGAGCAGACCTGGGCATTGTACGGCCCGCGGGCCACATCTGGCCCGATGGCTAACCCTGACTGGCCCGCATGAGGTCACTGGCAAATTAAAAGTCAATGCAAATATATATCGTCGTAATATAGATGCAAGCAATACAACTGCACTGCTTTTATTTTGAAGGATCTGCTAAATTGAACTGAATTTATTGCTTTTCATGTAATGTTAATGTTTTTGTGAATATTCATTAAATAGTGTTGTTCTGTGCTCCATATTTTCATTGTATCATTGTAAAGTTTCATTTCCTGTTTTTATAGAGCTATATATTGAGCAGAGCTGTAAGTGTATTGGTCCGGCCCTTAACAACAGTCAAAGTTTCTCATGTGGCTGCATAGGAAAATTAATCGCCCACCCCTGATCTAGAGTAAGCCAGGTTGAGGAGTGCTGTTTTAAGGCAACCAACTACAAAAGAAGGGCTCCTGGAAAAGTGGGAATATGGACTGCATCTGTGAATCCCTGTATGACAAGCTACAGTTGCCACAGCGGTCTGAAGGCACCAAGAAGAGCTAAGGAGTGCCTGGACGAAAGGCCACCTGGAAATCCCCTATGAGTAGCCTTGAGTTCCAAGGAAGCAAATTGGCACTCCAGTGTGGCTTGTGCTATTGGATGCAGGCATGAACTGCTTCAGACTGCTCAGCAGCCCGTCTTGGGAACGGCCGTGGAAGAAGAGGCTAAATACTTCTCAGCAGGCAGCAATGTAAGGCAGTACAACCTGAGGAAGGCACTTACGTAAGTGAGTTTGCAGACAGCATTTGCTTTCACAGCAATGTTATCCTGCTTCAACTCTTGCTTGATCTCATCGATGCACTGAGAGATATACTTCGCCTGGAGGAAGAGAAGGCCAAGGGGAGGGTCATCAAGACAGGTACTGCCCAGCAGCTGCGAGGGACTCTGCTTCTTCTGCCCAACTTGGCTTCCCTGAGCACTGTCTGTGTAGTTCTGAGGGTGAAGGGCAGCGGGATGCCCACTCCCATGAGAGGCTGTGCACTGCCTCGTTATGCAAGTGGTAACTCTGGGATTTCTGCGATGACAAACAGGCATCCCTAAAGCAAAAATTCACACAAGGACACAGTGGGGGATTTCCACGGCCAGGTGAGTCAGGAACTTGTTTGCACTGGGTGTGACTGGATTATCTGGTTGAACACATAGCAAGATGGTCTGTCTTCCAAGGTCATTGGGAAGGAGCCCCACAAGACGAAGCAAGCAAAACATTTCATGCAGGACACTCAGATCAAATCTACTCTTGCTCTCTGCTGGGACACACACAAAAGTGTGAAAAATATAGAGAATATGTGAGGCAGACTGAACTTTTCAGTCCTTGCTGAGCTCCACAACTCTCTGAGCAGCCGTTGGACAACTGCTGTGCTTCAGCTTAATCTACCTTGCAGGACTGATGATGAAAATGCAATTGGATCACCCTATGTATGATTGCTTAAGCTCTTGAGAAGAACAGCAGAAAAAAAATATGTGCAACCAGTGAATTCCAGGGAGTGGCTGGACTGGGGTGGTGCTGCCCTGTCTAGAAGAGAGTCAAGAGGTGCAATATAGACATGAAAAGTCTAAAAACTCTCAGAATTCCCTACAATTCCCAGCCAGTTAGGGAAAGCTAGAAATTGCAGAATGTAAGAAGAGTATGGATGAAATTACACCCTTAATTACTGCCTGGTCAAATTGCCTCTTCCAAGGCATGCCCTGCCATTACAAAATTCAGGCACATACAGCGTAGTTGCTATTTCCCAGCGCTCCAGGACAAAGCAAAGAGAACAGCATCATTTGGCCTTCTTTACAAGTCTGAAACGCAGAAGACCCCATGACAAGACAACCTGAAAACCACAACCATTTTACAATGCCACCTGAAACATGGGAAAGATCCTCTGCGTACATTATGCAACAGATCTCCTGCCACATAGTACCTTGCACTAAATATTTGATAGCTGTGTTGCAGCACAAGAGAACAGATGTCATGGGATCCTTGAGAGGCATATCTGGTTCTCCTGGCCCAGGTGGCACCTGCCTTCGCCAACAAGCCTGTTCACTATACTTGCCAACAAGCCACAACTCAGGGCACCATTTATTTATTTAAAACTTTTACATGCCATCCTTTATGTATAACATCTCAGGATGGCTTATAACATTAAAAATAGAATTCAATAAAAGAATCAATAAATTCAATAAAATTCAATAAAGCAAAAGCTATGGCCAATCTAGACAGCATACTAAAAAGCAGAGACATCACCCTACCAACACAAGTGCGTATAGTCAAGGCTATGGTTTTCCCAGTTGCAATGCATGGCTGTGAAAGTTGGCCCATAAGGAAGGCTGAGCACCGAAGGTTTGAGGTCTTTGAATTGTGGTGCAGGAGGAGACTCCTGCGAGTCCCTTGGAGGAGATCAACCCTGACTGCTCTTTAGAAGGCCAGATCCTGAAGAAGAAACTCAAATGCTTTGGCCACCTAAAGAGAAGGAAGGACTCCCTGGAGAAGACCCTGATGCTGGGAAGGATTGAAGGGCAAAAGAGAAGGTGTGAAAGAGGTTGAGGTGACTGGATGGAGTCACTGAAGCAGTGGGTGTGGGCTTGGGTGGACTCTGGGGGATGGTGGAGGACAGGAAGGCCTGGAGGAGTGTTGCCCATGGGATCACGAAGGGTCGGATACGACTTCGCAACTTACAAGCAAGCAAAACCATCAATATCACAATAAAACAATGTATAACCAATAAAAATAAATCAAATCAAAAAGCAACTGTTAAAACCATTAAAATACTATTTTTTAAAATAATGCTTAAATAAAAAGGTTTTGACCTGGAGCCAAAAAGAGTGTAAGTTCGGTGCCAGGCAAACCTCTCTGGGGAGCCCATTCCACAATCTGGGTGCCACGGCAGAGAAGGCCCTGTTCTGAGTAGATGTACTTTTTACCTCCTTCATGGAGGGTTCTCGGAGCAGGGTCTCTCCCGCAGATCTTAAGGAGCGTGAAGGCGTATAAGGGTAATATAGTAATGTGATGTCTTAAGATGTGTGTGATTAAATCTAATAACGAGTAAGTGTCCAAAGTAACTCTGGAGAAGCACTTGGGGGCAGTTGCAGTCTTAGGAGGGTAGAAGGCAAAGGGGGCAAGACCAAAGTTCAAAGGGATGGGGCTCAAATAACAGCCTACTTTAGCTTGGTACTCTTTAACAGCAGCAACTAAGTGCTCTGCCCACAATGACAGGCCTTGGGAAGCCACCCACGGCCTGTGTGGTGCTGTGGTTAAGAGTGCTGGGCTGGGGCTCAGGAGAGCTGGATTTTAGTCCCTACTTGGTCACGAAGCCCTCAGGGTGACTTGGGGCCAGTTACTGACTCTTAATCTGACCTACCTGTAGAGGGGTGTTGAGGAAAAAATGGAGAGAACCTTGTAAGCAGCCTCAGGTTACTTGCAAGATGAAGAAAGCCAGAATATAAATGCAATATAATGATTGGCAGGTAGGTGAAATGGGCATGCAGCACTCCAGAGGGCCAGACTGAAAAATGAGCTGGCCTGATTTGGACCCTGGGCTCGAGGTTCAAGGTGCACTTGCCACATGTGGGAAGGCCTGATGAAGCACAGCTCAAATCAAAAGCTGAGAGAAACCCCTCAAGAATCTGATGTTACCTTTGCAGAGGAAAATACGACACAGGCAACCCCTGCCTCAAAAGGGAAGGGAGGGGTAGCAGGGACAAGGCAGCAAGGGAGAACATTTAAGAATTTAAATGACCTTTGGGCAATTGCAGAATTTGAGGAACAAAGTGCTGCGCAGAGCAAAACCTCCAGGTGTGGGGGGGACTGCGCATTCCACTTCTACCTCTCCCCACGGTTTAGAGTAATGCAGATTTTGCAGACAAGAGAGCACTTAGGGGTTTGCTTACTTATAGAACTGGCAAAAGTTTTGCTCTTCTGGGAGCAGATTTCCAATAACTTTGGTACAAAGGTTTGACTCTTGCAGGAATTCCCCTTAAAGCAGGGTATCTGTAAGCTTTTCTAATATAATTAGGGAACAGAGTCCACTTTTAAGACAGCGAAAAGCCTTTTTGATGGAGCAGACGCAAACAATGATCACAATGATCTCAGAAGACATTTCTCACATGATTCTAAGGTCCCTGCTACATTGTCCAGCCCCTATGGACAGTTTAAAAGGCCTTTTCAGTAGCAACCTGAAAGGGTATTGTAATTCTTCTCGTGGGAGAAGGCACAGAGCAAGTGGAAATGGGGTATACGTGCAAATCCCCAAGGAAGGCTGAAATCTTATGAGGCGTGTCATGGTGACTCCCTTGCTGGTGAAGCAGTGGCAGGGGGTGGCACTTCTGAGTGAGGCAAACAATAAAACAGAACCGGCAGCAGCTCGAGTGCCAGTTCCAGATGCGGCTTAGGTAATCAAGTGGCACTTGAGATGCTAGCTAGCCCCTCACTGGGTCATCACCTCAGCTTGATTTGGGAAGAAAGGGTGTGTTTTGCCCGTACCACACACCCTTGGAAAGAGCACCTTGGAGATCTTGTTCTATTCCCCTCCAATAGAAGAATGCAAGCAGTACTCCTGTGAACATACAGGAGGGAGCAATGGACAGTCAAGAATTGTTTGTGCTGCAGAAAGGAAACAAAGTAGTTTAAGTGCATTTATACATATACAAAATATGGAAGAGCCCAATCCAAGACATTTGAACAACACTGTAGTGGCCCTATGGACCACATGTCTGGCAAAGCACGGACAGAACCATTTCCCCATCTGACACAAATTCCTGGAGCACAGGTCTAATAATGGGGTGGTGATTACCACCTGACTGAACCTAATAAATGCAGCAGCCTTTATGACTCCAGTAAAATTATTAGCCACAAGGGATGTTAGCAGTCAGGTAACGTCGATCCTATGTTTGAAGCAGATCATGACAACAATGACTTTTATTAATTCAAAGGTTTAATATGCCAGTAGGGTACATGCATGCCAGCCTAAGTGTTTAAGTGAAATCTAGTTTTCCCATTTTCACCTGACTTTAATATAATGCTAACTTTTGAGTATTACATATTTGCAGCTTTACAAAAACACAATTAAGGGGTGTTTGGTGAAAGCAATGCATTTCTGATTACCACAACAGCTATTAATTTTATGGAAGTGATGAACGTTTTTGAAAACCCTTGCTTAATTCCTCAAGATGGTTCCCGTCATCCATTTAAAGACATACATATTGAGAGGGAATGCAACTGACACATGGTAAGGTACGGTTTAATGACAGGAATGCTACCTCAAGAGGTGACAAGTGTCAGGGAGCAGGCTAAATGAGGAAAATCCTGATGCATATGATAAGCAGAAGATGGATTATACCTCAGTCTGCATGAATTATCACATCCCCATGAAGTCTAAAATCCAGTTTTCCTCTCTGCATACAGTTCATGGATTTTGTACTCCGGAGGATAGCATCCAGCCCTTGTGGCCCATAGATTAGACACGGAACTGCATTAGCAAGGGGTAGGGAGAACCAGGAGAATGAGCTCTGCCTAAGCCTCTGTGAAAAAAGGAAAACATCCTGCCTTTCTACCTGGGCATTTCAGTCTCACTTCCCCTCCATCACCCCACACAAATCACACTTCACTCCATCATGGGAAGCTGCAGAAAGTGAGGTGTGATTTTCACCAGCTTTAAATTTCAGAAGCCCAATTCAGCATCTCTGGAGAATATCATGTCTTTGCATTTCAACTGAGAGTTGGCCCAAAGAGGAGCACATTTTAATTCATTTTAAAATGCAAATTATGCCTGCTGAGCAACAATCGCTCCTGCAGCAGCTGAGGAAACAGTGCATTTAAAATACAGAAGGAACAGAAA